ACGCCATTTGAGGGGAAAACAAAGAGTTTTCCCCTCAAATGGCGTCGCCCCGCCCCCAGCGTGTGACGTCACTTCCGGGTGACGCACGTGGGGTGCGCGTGCGCAGAGCGCGCGCGCAAAAAAAGGACACCGTCCGGGAGCCCCCCGCTCCCAGACGAATTTCATTTGGCAACCCTATCTAACATGCAAAGGGTTTCTGCTACCAAAAAAGCCCTGGGTTTTGACAACAAACAAGGTAAACAGAATAAGAAACAAAAGGTGGGTGTGGCTGGATGACCATACTTCTGTTGACATGGGGGTGTGGCCTAATATGCTAATGTGCTGTGCTTTCAGGGGTGTGGCCTACTATGCTAATGAGTTTCTGCTGTTGGGTGTGACCTATTATGTTAATGAGTTCTTGCTGGGCTTTTTCTACAAAAAAAGCCCTGGTTACCCGGATATCACACCTGAAGGTCTGGCCTTGCCAGACATCTGCCAATGGAGGCAACCCATTGGCTGTACATATCTTAGGAGTATCATATGCCCAAGTCTCTGCCCTTGCAGGAAAGACACATCTTGTAGCCATTATGGTCTCCCCAGCCTAATATGGTAATTTCTGACTTTCTTAAAGTTCAGCTTGGTTTCTGCTTTCGGTTCGCTCCCCCAGGGATTCCAGATTGGCACTGGGGAGCTGGAAGAGATGGGAGCCAAGTTCTGCCTGGGCCTCCTGGTGTTGCAGCTGAAATCTCTGCCGTGCAGGAAGGAAGTGATGGCTCAAGCAGCGTCTCTGCTGGACGTGGAAGAGGAAATCGCAGATCTCCGGACACAAAGGTCAGAGTCCCAACTGGTTTCCTGCTTGTTTTGCGAGGCGGACCCTCCTTCCATTTTCTGTGGGTAATGTGTGCACTGGAAATGTGAGTGTTGGGAATGGGAGCGGGAATTTAATACCCAGTGGTTAAGACGCTGAACTGCAGGCTGTGGAAGGTCAGTAGTTCAGCAGTTCGAGGCCTGAGTGTGCCGCGTGACGGAGTGAGCTCCCGTCTCTAGTTCCAGCTCCTGCCAACCTAGCAGTTCAAAAGCAAGAAATTGCAAGTAGATAAATAGGTACCACTTCAGTGGGAAGGTAACAGCGTTCCGTGCGCCTCGGTGTTTAGTCATGCCGGCCACATGACCACGGAAAGGTCTTCAGACAGCGCTGTCTCTTCGGCTTTGAAATGGAGATGAGCACCGCAACCCTAGAGTCGAATTTGACTGGCTTTCGAGCAAGGGAACCTTAACCTTTATGAAATTAAGAGTTCTCCCTCTGAAGACAAAGGTTGTTTGTTTTGTTTTTGTTTTTTAAATGTTACATTAAAATCATACAAGGAAATTTTGCTTTGCATGACATTATTCTGTTATGTTGATGAAATCATCCCTGGGTCTGAGGTTCTTAGCCCTTTGGTGCAGTTTTGTCCCGTAACTCAATGGAAATACAGTGGAATATGTGACATCTGACTGTTGTATAAGAGGAAGAGGCTGTTGTGTGTAAGAAGAAGCAACCTGGTAAATTTCTAGGGACACAGGAGGAAAGGGGATGAATTAAAACCTGATCTGAAGTACTAAGATGTAGGGGTGATAACGAAAGTTATTCCTTGGTGTCCAAGAAACTAGAAATAGGGTTGAATGCATGCCGTTCCTTCCAATTTGTACTTGAACCCAGTTTTACTGCCTCAGGTGTTTGGATGATCTACTGCATATATCCATGGACATCGTTGTCAATGTATTTTAGATGTCCTTCGTTTGAGGTGGTGACACATTGTAATCCCTACTTCCACAGCAATGTTAAAATGTACATATTCAAGTGCATACCTAGTGGGTGCCCACTGCTCAAAAAGAATTCTGGACATGCTAAAGGAAAGTATGCATGTGTTGCTCCATTCTGCGGCAGGGACAAATTGGACTGGGATGGCCCATTCCAGAGAGAATCCCACTTGAGGAGAAATTTGGAGGCATCCTAGTCTGTCTGGATCTAGTTTGTGAGAAGGACGTCTGTTTATCAAACCCCCTTTAGCGGCCACAGAACTGGTCAAATTCCATGCATCACGAGGCTTCTTACGCTTTCTGTCTAACTGTGGGGGATCTGCCAGCCATCCTCTTTTGAGCCTGAAGATGGGAATGCCAAGGGACAGCAAAATGGGTCTCTGTTTGGCAAGAGTGGGTCTCCCAGTTGCCCAGACCAGCAGGTGGACTTGACCTGGAAGCTTTTCATTGGGGTCAAGAATCCTAACCCACTCGGACGTATTTGTGGGAGGAGGTTTCCTTGGCTGCTGGGACTGGTTTTAGCCTCGGAGTGGGAGCAAAAAGACAGAGTCCCTTCCCGGTAGCTCACTAATTCCGGATCTGCTGTGCCCGAAGTCCTGATGAGTGTCTTGAGATTGTTCAGCCTGCATGTTCAGGAGCACTTTAATATGAGCAAATCTCTCAAATAATTGGGGGATGGTTATTGTTTCCTTAAAGCAGTGGTCCATCAAATTCATAACAAGTGAGTCATCTGTCATTGGCCACCATGGGCCTACCATCTTTTCTTCACCCCTGCCTTTAAAAAAACTCTTTTATGAATGAAATATGACCACATGAGCATCCACAGCACATGGGGACATGTGTTTTAGAAAGCATCAAGATTGTCTGAGCAGTGGTGCTGGGGCCCCCAGATCCATGTAATCCTATGTTCCATGAACGGGAGAGAAAGAGAGAGAGAGAGAGTGAGAGAGAGAGAGAGAGAGAGAGAATACCCTGTGAGCTGAAGCTGAGTCCATCATGGGGACAAACCAACACAACCCTTTTATTTCCTTTCTTTCCATGTATTGCTTGTTATGAATGGTTTCAATCTACCCATTTTTGTTGCTGCTATCGATGACACATCCATTCCTTTTACACACAGGTTATGCAATATATGTGCACAATATATGTCATTTGTATGTATAATATATGCCTAAACTGATCTACTGATTCACAAATCATCCTGAGAAATGAGTGCATTTTGCAAGGGGGGTGGGTGGGATCAGCCTGAAGGAGCAGAAAGTGGATGGGAAGGAAAGACAAATCGATTTGAGCTTGCGTCAGGAAGAAGCAGATTTGAAACGGAAGTATTCAAACTGATCCACTGTGCATGCAGAATTTGATAGGGCCCCCCCTTCCCATTTTGTTAATTCAATCAATCATCATCTGCATTTTTTTCTGCGGAAAAAGCCAGTGTTTTTGTTGCTTCCTCCCATTACAGAAAAGCCCCGTAATTTATGGTGGGTTCCCATTCTGTCCCTTCAGGGATGCTTTAAGAGCCATTAGCACCACCTGCTTGGGATGCTGGATCCCATATTTACAGCCGTGTTCATCATTTTTAATGTTTATGGAGGAGGAACGGGGAGGGGGATATTGCCTTAAAAATAGAGACATTTCTTTAGATTAGTCATGCTCACTTGTACACGTGAGCGTATAAATGAAGCAATTACTGTGTGTTCCAAACACCAAGCAGGCCACGGACAGCGGCCTGACAAGCAATTGGTGTGTCATTAAAAGGAACCATTCAAGCCTGGCCAGACGGATGGATTCCAGGCATAAATCAAAACCTTCACTTCAGAACTGGAGCTGCGGAAGGTGCTGAGTCAAAACGAATTTCAGATAGGGAAGGAACATTCCCGACTGCTGACCCAGCCGGAGGATTAAATAGGGCAGTGAGGGAGTAATTGCTGAGGGACTGGCCAAGCCAGGCTGGTTCTGAGGGGGGAAGAGCAGCAGTAACAGGTGGAGTCGTGTCTGTCAGCCTGAGAGACTTTTGTCTCAGTCTGGGAGAGAATCTCATCAACATCAAATTGTTCCATATCCAGGTACTCACAAATTCAATGGTACCCTTATATAACTTAGGGGTGACAACTCCAGGTTGGAAAATTCCTAGAGGTTTGGGGGCAGAGCCTGGGGAAGAGTGGAATTTGGGGGAGTGAGGGAGCTCAGGAATTACAAGAAGAAGGGATTGGATTTACACGCTGCCCTTCATTCCCCACTCCTTCACATGCAGCTGCTGGTGTGACCTTGGGTCAGTCACAAGTTCTCTTAGAGCTGTTCTCTCGCCAGCAGTTCTCTCAGAGCACTCTCAGCCCCACCTACCTCACAGAGTGTCTGTTGTGGGGAGAGGAAGGGAAGGAGATTGTAAGCCGGTCTGAGACTCTTTTGGGTAGTGAAGGGCGGGGTAGAAATCCAATCTCTTCTTCTACTGATGGTCTAGTTTAGTATATGGCAGGAGTGGTGGGAGTGGAGTTGAAGTCTTGACCCTGCACCTCTTGGTCAGAGAACTACGTACTAACCAGGTGCATAAAGAACATTTAGTTTGTACATAGTTATGCATGGTAGGATAGGTGAAATCAGTTCTTCCTGAGGAACGTGGATGGTTGGATCAATGTAATTCAATGACGCACGCCCAGAGGTCATTTCGGGGGGGGATCGTGGGGGATCGCAGTTCCCCCGAGTGAGGTACGGGGGGGCAGGGCACATGACGAAGCCCCACCCCCCGCTTCCGGCTCCCCCGCTTCCGGCCCTCATTCATCCAGGAGGAGGCAGGAGAAGAGGGAGGGTAAGTTGCTTCCTCCCTGCCTCTGCCCACCCCTGCCTGCCTGGGGCCAGGGAGGGCCTTCGCGGGGCTTCCTTGCACTCCCACCGGCCGGGACCGTTGGGGGTGGTGTGTGTGGCCTTATGACACACTTCCGGTGATGTCAGGGGGTGTGGCATATGCTAATGAGTTATGCTAATGAGTTCCCCTAGCTCTTTTTCTACGAAACGACCCCTGCACACGACGAGGGACCTGCGCATGCAAATTAGTACCACTAGCACAGACCAAAAAAGAAAAGGGTTTTCTAAATAATGGACTCTCTGGTTTTCTCCGTTTAAATAATTTGTCTGTGGCACGTGGCATGGGAGGAAAGGCAGCATGGTATAGCCCAATTTTGTCAGATCTCAGAAGACAAGCAGGGTTGGCACTTGAAGGGAAGACCACCAAGGAAGACTCTGCAGAGGAAGGCAAGGACAAACCACCTCTGTATGCCTCTTGCCTTGAACAGCCCCTTGCTGGGGTCGCTGTAAGTCAGTTGTGACTTGATGGCGCTTCTGTATGTACGTAGCACATGGCACAGTGACGACGGGTCTGGGTGGGGGAAATTTGGCCTCCCGTTGGGTGCCGTGAGAATACACATATGTCAGATGGAGCCCACCGAATGTGTTGGGGCTGCTCACAAGCAATCAAAAGGCTCAATAGAAAAACCCGGCTCCTTGCTCACAACTGGAAGCAGAACATGGGGGAAATCGGGGGTGGGGGTGGGGGTGGGGGAGGACATCCCTGCTGCTGTCTCTGTTCATTCCTTTTGTGCTGCAAAAGTATATAGTTTGCCTCCCAGGCACGTTTCCCTTTGCTCCAGTGCCTGATATAGTTGCCAGTGACTCTGCGGGTGAGACTCTGCCCATGACAGCAACTGATTCCACCTGTCAGGGCTTATCTGTATACATGCCCCTTAATCCAGCCATCCCGGCTGTTTGTGCTCCACGTCTGCTCCAGGTTCTCTCTCCTACAAAAGAGGGCTCGGAACTGACAGCACACCTTTCCGCGTTTGAACTCCCCTGATCAGAGGCCAGAATCCGTACGCTTGGAGAGGGGGAAAGAGAAGCGGCAGGAGTGGAGATGTATTGTGTACATTAGTGGATGTCACGTCAGCTCGGAGCGCCTATAACTGAAGGGATGGGTGTGTGTGTTGGGGGGGGGATCACATGTATGAGTTCTCCCCTGCATTAAAACAGTCTCCCCAAAACAATCTGGCACAAAAGTGCTGGCACCTCTCTGTCTGATGTGTCAGTGACTTCTTTGCAGAGGGTTCTTTG